AGCGAGCGACTGGCAAGCGCGGCGAGCACCCGAGAGCAGCGCGAGCACCAGCATGGCGGGGCTCCGACGCCCGCAGCCGGGCTGCTACTGCCGCACCGCCGCGGCCGTCAACCTCCTGCTGGGTGTCTTCCAGGTCCTCCTGCCCTGCTGTCGCCCGGGAGGGGCTCAGGGACAAGGTCAGCCTTGCGCCGCTTTGCTTGCCTTCCCTCTCCACCCCGCCCCCCCTTCTCTTTCTTTTAGGGAACTGCTGAAATCTATCAGAGGGCGAAGGGAGGAAAGGGAAAGAGGCAGGAGGAGGAAGGAAAGCGGTTGCAATTCTCGGCTGATAACATTTTGTAACCACAGCGTCCCCTCCCACGCCCCCCGCCCCCATCCAAACAGAAAGCCGGGAAGTCGCGGGGCTCGGGGACAGCGGCGCGGACCGCTAGCCGCGCGCGCCCCGGTGCCTTTGTGCGCGGGCCCCCGGCGCCCCAGGCGCAGCCCCCGCTTTGTGTGGCGCGCGCCGGGGCCCCGCCGCGGCCCGGCTTCCTGCAGCTTTGTTCCCCGAGCCTGGCCGCCCTGGTCCCATCCCGCACACGCCCGCCCCAGATGCTGCGGGATGCGGAGCGCAGAGTGCCCCGCGAGGTGGCTTCGGCTCCTCCGTCCTCCCCGCGGGAGAACCCCGACCCTGCACGCCCTGGCGTCTGTCAGAGCGGCCCCGGCGTACACCCGTACATTGTGTTCCTATCCCCGGCTCGCTCCTCCGGTGGCCTCTACTGTTGGAAGGAAAGGGAGACTTGTTTTGGTGAGGCGGGTGCATGGGGGGGACCATAGGAAACAGGAAGCTTTTCTGTGCATTAAAAACGCGGTGTATTTTTTGGTGTTCGTGCAGCCATTGAGCCCTTACCGAACGTGGTGGAGCTGTGGCAGGCAGAAGAAGGGGAACTCCTGCTGCCCACTCAGGTGAGGACGCCCAGGTGACAGGGCGGGTGTGGGTGTGCGAGGGAGGAGAGGGCCGGAGGCCGCCGGCCCCCCAGCGGCACAGGCGCTCGGGCCACTTTGCAAGGCAAATAAACGGTCGGCCCAGCCTGAACACCTGGCAACGGTGGCCCTCCCGGCCTCCTCCCGCGCCATGTGACAGGGCGTGAGTCACGCCGGCCCCAAGTTCAGGAGGTGGGAGCCGAGGCCACCTCAGCAGGGCCGCAGCCAGCGGCTGCCGAGCGGAGGGGAAGGGCTGGCCCCCGGGCCGGCTGTGGTCCCGCGTGGGCGAGGGACGTGTGCCCTCTAAGTGAGCGGTGCTGGGGGCCTGAGAACAACAGGAGTATTGATTTCAGAAATGTTAGTGAGTGGTACTTGCCATTAGCGTTAAGTGGCTTTGGGATGAAGATGTGACTTTATGGGATTGTAATCTTGGATTTTTTCCAAGTGCCTTTAATTCATGTTAGAATACACCCTCTTAAGAACTTGAATTTCAAGTTTTTTGGTGTTTCTTTTTCCTATACAATGATATAATGATTGCATATGGAAAAATAATTGCTAATGTTTTATTGGGAATCTGTGGCATCATACAGGGTTTACTGCTGCAATAGATACGGTACTGCAAAGGTTTTGTGTTTAAGGTTTAACTTTTAGGAGAAATTCTCATTGACTCTAAATGTACACATTTAAATATAATATCCTTGACTGTTTTTCTGCAGGGACAGTAGTGGCCCCAAATGCATTTTTCTCTAAGGGCTGGTGGTGGTGGTGGTGGTTTGAATTTTAAGGGAATTCAGCCTGTGTGTGGTAATTTTTAAGACCTTCATTACTTCCCACATTGGTGGCAACACTTAATTCTATGTTGTCTCCTGTGGCTGTTTAGAAAAACAGGATGTCTAGTTATATCACTTCACTGGAGAGGCTGTGCAGTTTTACATTTCAGTTTTCCCCCTCCTATATGAAGCATTTAGAGTGCTGGTTTTGAGATATTTGGAATATTCGTTTTAACCAGGGCTAATGAATAACAGCTTCAAGGCCGAGAGGTGATTTTAGAGGAAAAATTTCCTAGACCTTCCCTGAAGGCCAGCAGGCTGAATGAGACCAGTCCTTGGAGAAAAGGCCCCATTAGGATGGGAAGCAAATTGTCTGTCCTTCTCTTAAAAGTTTATTCCTGAATGGATTTTTTCCCTGATTATAAATGACACGTGTATTTTCCAAGGTTTGGAAAATACAGAAAGAGAAGAACAAAATAGAAATTATTCATAATCCTACTGAGAGAAGCACACTTAACATCTGATGTATTTACTTTCAAAATATATAGTTATATTTGCATGTATCAGAGTTGTGGCATTAGTGACGTTTTGGGCTGGAGAATTCTTTGTGGTGTGGGGCTGTCCTGGGCGCTGTAGGATGTGGAGCAGTTAGAGCATCCTTGCCTCTACCCACTCGATGCCAGTGGCACTCACTCCTCCCTCTCCACCCCCGGTTTGTGACAGCTAAAAGTGTCCCCAGGCATTGACAGATTTCCCTGGGGAGAGAAATTGCCCAGGTTGAGAAACACTGATGTAGATCTGTATGTATTTGCATTTTTACTCACTTGTAGCCTCTACCTCTTACTGGTCAGTGTTGGAAGCCAACCCAGACTGAAAGGAAAGTAAATCATAGACTCCCGTTTGTTACAGCGTTAGTTGAAGATGTGGTCACTGTGCTAGGAGATGGAAATGTCAAGGCCTCTGAAATGATTATTTTATTTATAGGCTCAAAAGTTATTTTATAAAATTCTTAATTTCTGGTTTTGTTTTGTTTATATGTATCATACAGTTTATTTTGGTAAAAAAGTTAGAATTTAGAAGCTCTTCCTGGAATACTCCCTATAGAAGCATTTATAGCTAAGCTGTTTTAATCAAAGCTATAATGAAAGTGAAACTGGTATTCAAAATAATTTTCTAAATATTTCGTTTCTATCTATATATGTGCCTTTTAGAGGCTATTTTACCCTGCATGTACCTGGGTGGGTGAGGATATATGTAGGTATGTCTGTCTATATCTGTCTATCTAAACTGCGTATATAAATGCATATATATCTATCTAAACTGCATATATATATATATCTAAATTGCAAAGAGTTCTGAAGATTATTTTTAGGGAATTCTTTTCAAAGTATTTTGAATTTTTTTCAGAAAAAGTTCTCTCGTGTGTCAGGGAGTCTGTTGAAAAGAGGCTATTTATAGGTGTTATTTAAATTTGGGGTTTTCTGCTTAATTAACTGGTAGGTTGGGTCGGGAAGACACAAAGATGGCTTCAGAAGCTAAGGTTTGTCAGTGATGGATGAAATAGTGTCAAAAGATGTAGCATTAAAAAATTGAATACTAACTTATTTGCCAACACTAATTATTTATACAATTACCTATTTTGGAAATATAATTTTTCTTATAAATAGCGTTTTCTGTTGATTGGGTCTTTTTTATTTTTTCTTCTTCTGTGGGTCTCTAAGTGATCAAGAACTTGAATGATGAATCATTAGTCAAACCAACTATAATAATTGAGTTGACCCTTTGGCCAGGCTCCCAGGATTTGGCTCCTGTCTCCATCTCTTTTCACCTCTCTGTCCTCAGTTTCTTCATCTGCAAAATGGGAGTAATAATGATGCTGCTCTCAGAGGATTTTGAGAGGAGTAAGTGCCTTGAACTTAGTAAGCACTTAATATATGTTACCTATTATTTTGGCAGTATCTCAGCTGACCCCTAGACTTGGTCACTGGAGAGCGTGGAACAGCTTTCCTGCTTTGAAGGGGCTGAACCAGTGTAGATAACTTGATACATGATGTGCTCTCTACAATTGTATAGATAAGCTCTATTATTCATATCTTTTTGTTATATACTCTTTTATTTGTAAAATGTTTTGGTGTAGGAAGATAAAAACTCTATCCATGGTGATAGGAAGAAGGAGGGAAAAAAACATGTAACTTTATTCTTAGATTTACAGAACTTTTTCCTCTCCTCTCCCTATACTTCCCCCGTACTTCAACACGCTGAATCCAAAGTGGTGATGGTGTACCAACCAAACAGGTGTGTTCGTTAGCTTGTTGTCAAGTAATCGCATGTGTGCGAGATACTACTTTGTGCATCTTGTTACTTCGCCTTCAAGGTCAAACACCATCTGTGGTTCCCTGTGATCCACTTACCTGCTCTGGCCCTCAGGGCCTTCGGCAGTCTGCCCTTGTCTGCTGCCCTGGTCAGTCGTCTGGGATGCTCACTCCAGCCTGACCCTCGGCCGAGCAGGCCCAACGCGTATCTATTGAATGAAAGAACAAATGCTATTGCCCTGCTCTTTGTACAGGCTGGTCCTCCCTGACTCCTCTTGGCAGTGGCGCTGTCATTATTTCTCCCTCTTTGAGTTTCTTGAGTGTGTGGATTTTTTCATAGTGTCTTGAATGTCTGGGAGTTTGTCTTGTGTGCGTCTTGTTGCCCTGACTGGGTTGCCCTTAAGAGGGTTCTAAGCTTGGTGGCCCCATTGTGGCCACAGTGTTCTGCATACAGTAGGCGTTCTGTCGTTAGCCCATGAGGTCTTGCTAGTGGAGGAGAGGCCATTATCAGTGTCTTGTTCAGGACTTCCCTTGTTTATGAGCTTAGTCAGTTCCGAAGATGGCAGGAGGAATGCCTTAAGCGTTGGTTTCCTGTTATTGTTTAATAATCACACTGTTTCATTGGTTTCAGCAAGAAGAGCAATCAAGAATTTGTTCTTTTAATCCATTCGCGCTGTGCTGAGATGAGAAGCCTCACTGCTGAGTCCCCTGGTTAGGTTTGGGACGCAGATGTGGGTGCAGAGCAGGAGCATCTCTGACCTGATGGAGACTCGCGTTGGTTTGGTTTGGGATGGGTGGGCTCAGAGCTCTACTGGGCTTGTCTGTCCATCTTGCAAACACCTACCCTGGGCCTGGCCTAGGTCGGCCCCTGGGATACAGTGATAAATGAGAAAGTCACTGCCTTTAAAAATCTTATGTCATGTTTATTTCCCTATCTTAAGCCTGAGAGTGTAGATAATGGAAATTGGTGGAAAGTGAAACAGGAAATGGTACACTGAGTATGAGTTCTTTATTATCTCAGGTACTGCGTTATGTAAGAGCATCTTGCTGCAGTCAGTGAATCATTGACTAGTATTTGGAAATATTTTTATCATAGAGGTTTATTTTTTGTTTAATTTGCTTCCACTATCAACAAGAAAATAATAACTAACATGGATTGCGTACCATCAGCATCGCTTAAGCACTTTACAAGTATTCACTTACGTTAATATTGCTAAAAACGATGATGTATCGTGACTTGATTTTACAGATGAGGAAATTGAGGCACAGAGTCGTTAAATAACTTGCCCAAGGCTGTAAGAAAGTGGTGGTGGTGGGATTTGAACCTAGGAGGTGTTTAACTCCAGAACCCCTGCTTTTGCCCACTACACTATTGTATGAGTTTTAGCACTGTCTGACCGGGAAAGTATTACTGTGGTGATAAAGTTCTTGTGTCTGAGGGAAATAATTTCATGTTCTGTTTTGATTTAGAAAAATTTGCTTAATGAAATTTTCAGAAACAGTCATATCTACTAGTATTTTTAAATTTATGTTTATTAAAAAAATTTTTTTTTATTGAGGTTTAATTGACATATAACATTAGTTTCAGGTGTACAACATAATGGTTCAATGTTTGTATATATTGTGAAATGATCACCACAATAAGTCTAGTTAACCTGCCACCCTACACAGCTGTAAAAAGATTTTTTTTCTTCTGATAAGAACTTTTAAGATTTACTCTCTTAGCAACTTTCAAATCTGCAATACAGTATTATTAGCTATAGTCACCATGCTGTATACATCACATCCCCATGGCTTATTCGTTTTATAAGTGGAAGTTTGGTACCTTTTGACTCTCTTCACCCGTTTTGCCTACCAATCTGTTCTCTGTATCTATGAGCTTGGTTGTTGTTGTTTTGTTTTTTTTTAAGATTCCACGTATAAATGAGATCATATGGTATTTGTCTTTCTCTGATTCACTTATTTCACTTAGCATATAATGCCTTCAAGGTCCATCCATGTTGTTGCAAATGGCAAGATTTCATTATTTTTTATGGCTGAATAATATTCCATTGTATACACCACCCCCCATCTTCTTTATCCGTTTATCCATCAATTGGCACTTAAGTTGTTTCCAAGTCTTGGCTATTATGAATAATACTGCCATGAACATAGGAGAGCATATATCTTTTCAAATTAGTGTTTTCATGCTCTTTGGATAAATACCCAGAAGTGGAATTGCTGGATCCTGTGGTAGTTCTATTTTTAATTTTTTGAGGAACCTCCATCCTGTTTTCCATAGTGGCTGCACCAATTTACATTTCCACAAACAGTGCACAAGGGTTCGCTTTTTGCCACATCCTTGCCAATGTTTGTTATTTCTCGTCTTTTTGATACTAGCCATTCTAACAGGTGTGAGGTGTACATCCACTCGTATTTAAGAAATAGCTACACTGTCCTTATCTCTGCAGACGTTTATTGAGCATGTGCTGTTTTAGGTCTGGGAATGTCACGGTGAACAAAAAAGAAAGCTGCTGCCCTTGTGGAGCGTGTGTCTAGTGGAGGCATATAGATAATAAGAAATAGAATAAATTGTAAGTTATTTAGTGTGTTGAGCATCAGTGCTAGATGGTGGCAGACTGGACGAGGATTCAGGTGATGGGAGTTACAGTTTTAATTTAAGAGGTCAGGGTAGGTCTCTGAGAAGGACTATGTTTGATATTTGAGCCAAGCCTTGAAAGCAGTGAGAGAATTAGAATAGCTAGTGCAAGGGCCCTGGGGCACTGCCAAGGGAGGGTGTGGGGGGGAATTACAGGATTTAGTCCCTGCCCTTTGTTGGTGGTTTGGGGAGCTAAGCTGGTAATAACCCTGAGATAACATTCAAGTGCTGAAATGTAGGAACTGAGAGGAGAGAGGAGGAGCAGTGTGTATTGGAGGGGTTTGTTAAGGCTTAGGGGAGAGGAGGGCTGCTTAGAGATCCACATTTGCTGTCATGTGACCAGGCCTAGCCTAGAGCCTCACCTGCGTGCTGGTTCAGTGTGTTTATGCTGATGTTTTCAATTAGAGCTCAGAGCGCCTGCTGAAGTGTGGTTGTAGAGACTGGGATGGGTATGTCAAGGTCAATTGACAGTTGCTCAATTCCAGGTTATGGAGCTTGGAGTATATCTGACTAGCAAGGAGCCATGGTAGGTTCTTGAGCAGAGATTACCATGATGACATTCAGTGCTGGGTCCATTCCATGTGGGTGGCAAGTAATGGTTGATGTTGAGGAAGAGTGGTCTCGCACTGACACTCAGGATGGGTTGAAGGGAGTGAAAAGCCCCATCTGCGGTGGCAGTGGATGCCTGGGGTGCTGACAGTGTGGGCCAATTTGCTGGCAGAAGGGGTGGAGAAGAAAGGACAGGTCTGAACTGTATTTCGGATGAGTGGGTAAGTCTTGATGGTTGGAGGAGAGCAGTGGTAGATGACCCTAAGGTTTGTCCACGGGAGAAGGAATGATGGGGTCCTTGACTGAAGGAGGCTGGTTAGAACAGAAACCATTTGGCAGGACCCCCTGACATCAGTAAGTCTGGTGTTCGTCATGATTGTTTCTGGGGAGACAAAGTGCGTATATCCTGGAGGCATTTGGCCGTGGGACTGGAGCTGTCAATTAATTCATTCCACACGTATTGTGGAGTACGCCTGAGTCTTGGCTCTTGTGGAAAGATAGGCATTTATTGAGTATCTACATGTGTGATGGAATGAGAAGTTGGGGCTGGAGGTAGGAATTGGGCCCCAGGATTGCAAGCATGGGTTAACATTGGGAGGGAATTAGTGTAGAGGAGTCCAGAACCAGGAGGACTGGCAGGGACCGGGAGGAAGAAGACAGTGAGTCAGTAATCAAGGGTTAGCGAGAAGCTGGAGGAACAGGAAGATTCCGCGTTCCTGAAGCTAGCAGAGGCAAGCTTCAAGAAAGAGTGGACAAGAGGGGGTCTGTCAGGCAAGTTACAGTGTAGTACTTGTCTGCCCTTCTGTTTCTGTTTCAAGCACCTTTTCTTTTTACCCTCCCCTTATGTGACTTGTGGCCAGATGTTGGCTTGGTAAGTCTGGGAGAAGATCTTGGAAGCGCTTTTGAGTATGATATTTATGCCATTTATAACATTTATCAGCCTTTTTACATTAATGTCAAAATAGATCAGGTGTTCATTTAGAGGGTTCTGAGCTAAACAGTACATTTTCTGTAATTGGGGAATTTAATTATCATTAAACTTTATCTTGTGTGATTAAACTTAAACATGAAAAAAAGGCTCTTGGGGAGGAGTGACGTCAGACTAATTTTGAGATTATGTTGCGGTCGTGATTTTAAGCAGGTGGGATATTTACTTACATGAATATCGAAGGGATTCCTTGGCAGTTTATGGCTTCTAGTGGTGTCATTACCAGTGTTCTTCTTTCAAGAAATATTTATTGAATGCCTGCTCTGTGTCAGGCACTGTTTCAGACTTTCATTACAAGGTCATCACCCCTGTGAGATTTGAAGAACTGTTCCTTTCGGAGATTCTGTGTTCCTTTGAAACAGTTGTTAAAACCTGTTCTTTTTCCATAGGGTGATTCGGAAGAGGATGTGGAGGAGCATTCTGAAGAACAGAGGTAAGGACAAAAATGAGAGCGAATCCCTGCTCAATTTCCCTGCCCACTTTGGATGCTATCTGAAGTCTTGGTATATGTCTGCATTTATGTATTTAATATCATCTGTGATATAGCTTTTTCTCTGGCATTTGGGGCGGGTATCTGTACTCGCTAATGATTATGACTTTGTTTTAAAATAAGGCTGTACAGAAAGTTGTTAAAAACACACCCCTGCCCCACCCCACCCCAAGTTCACTTTTCCCATGGATGCTTACACCCTCCATCTTGTTTACAAACATCTGTTGAGCATCAGGCACTGTGCTGGGTGCTGGACATAAAACATTGAACAAGACCTGTGTTGCATGTAGTGGGGGCGTCAGGCATCATTGTAAACAAAACAAAGTAATTATGCTTATAATAAGAACTATCAAGAATTAGATTGCTGTGGTAGAGAATAATGAGGTAGATGAGGTGGTCAGATGAGGCCCCTCTTAGGAGGTGATGTTTGAGCTGAAGTCTGGAGGATGTTTAAGAGCAGCCATGCAGCAAGCAGAGGGAGAGTACGCTGGATGGAAGGAATGGCAGGTGCAAAGGCCCTGAGGTGGGAAGTACTGGCAGCAGTCCAGGAACTTGGAGAAGCCCAGTGTGGTTTCTGGGATGGTGAGATGAGCTAAGACCTTAGAGGCCACAGGAAGGAGTTTTGAGTTTTAGTTTTTTAAGTGTGGTGTGAGTTGTTAAAGGATTTTCAGCAGAGGCTAATCAAAAAACGTATGTTACATTTTTAAGAGAATACTTTGGTCATGGGGCAGTCTTGGTCAGTTGTCAAACTGGGATAACTGGTCCCTTGGAGGTACTTGAGGACTCTATGTGGTACCTGGACATGGGGATAACTTTCAGGGAACAGCTTCTATATCCCCAACATCCACATATTCTCCTAAAATTGATTTCAGGTTGCAGTTTATCCTTTCCCACCTCTTCTTTTGCAGTGTCACCTCTCCACTTTACAAAGGAAAGACATACCTCTTACCCAGCCACAATCCTAATATGTACCCATCCTGGGTAAACAAAGGGACAATTTGAAATACTAGTATTGGTTAGAAGAAGTGATTAACTCTGATTGGATGACAAATTCATGTGTAACTCTAGTGGTTTTCAAATCTTTACTTTTAAGAAAATTGAAGGAGAACCCAATCAAGTTGGCAGTTGATAGATCATCAGAAGTTATTTTTAATGATAGATCACCGTGATTCTTGGATAAATCATTGAGGGAGTTTAGAGAATATAGGGACAGTGCTATAACAAAGTTCCTTCCTTTCACATCTTTTTATGTGAACAAGTCTTTTCAGTGCTTACATTAAAAAAAGAAAAGAGAAGGAAAATGAGATTAAGTGGATGCTAACTAACCCTATCTCATGTTAGCAGTGAGTAATATTCCCATGAACCAATTGGTGGGGAAAAAGACAGTTCCATCTGTCTCATTTAAGGATGCGTTTTCAATAACATTTGACTTATGTTTAATTACCTATGAAAATTTGCAGAATTTGTTCGTTTGATCAGTTGCATACTAATAAAAACTATAACTCAATTCAGAAAAAAAAATTTTTAACACTTACACCTTATGGTCACAGGAAACTAAGAAAAACCTCGAAATTTCAATTTATACCTGTAGTTGTGTTGCATAAGGCTTTGAACATAAAGTTATATTAGGTTAGGGCCAGCCCTGTGGCTTAGCGGTTAAGTGCGCGAGCTCTGCTGCTGGCGGCCCGGGTTCGGATCCCGGGCGCGCACCGACGCACCGCTTCTCCGGCCATGCTGAGGCCGCGTCCCACATACAGCAACTAGAAGGCTGTGCAACTATGACATGCAACTATCTACTGGGGCTTTGGGGGAAAAAAAAATAAATAAAAATTTAAAAAAAAAGTTATATTAGGTTAAAATTCTTTGAGGGAATATCCAGCAATACAGGCTTTGAGGGAAAGCCTATTTGTTTTTTTTAAAAAATGGATGATGATGGATATCATTGTAGTGGTATTTAGATTCCATTGAATATATTTTAAAAAGTGATTGTGAGTTGTATTCAAAATGCCAATATTCACAATACGCCAGAAATTACCTTCTTTGCAACCACCTATACTCATATAAAATTTTTAATGTGGGATAACTTATATAGGGCAGAGTTCAGAGTTTGTCACAATCCTGTTTGGGCGTATGGGAGCAAGAAAAGGTGAGGAATGCTGATGGTGGTTCCGGCTGGCTGGGGGTGGTGGGGTGGGAGGGACATGGAAAGTTTTGAGATGAATTTTGGGGGTGGAGCAGATTTACTTGTTGACTCAGTTGTAGAGAGTGAGGGAAAGAGAAGTCATGGAGGGCTTCTAGAATTTGGCTTGAGCATCTGTGATGGGAAAGGACTTAGTGGGAGGGGAATCAGGAACTCTAGCTGGTTGTCTCCTGGGAATCTCGGACGTGATAGGACACGTCCAAGCAGAGCTGGCAGGTGCGCCCATGCTGGTGTGATGTGCATGTGGAGCTGGGAAGGCCTGGGCTGCCTCTCAGGGGTGGGTGTGCCCGCCTGCCGATGGCCTTGTCGCAGGTGCCTTTGCATGTGGGCACCTCTTTTGCAGATGCAGTTCCCTGCTTTCTCATTAATTAGAACTAGTTTCTTTTCCAATTTTCTGTCACACTTAAAAGTATTGGTAGACTTTATATCCTTATTGGTTTTATGACATAGTGTCAGATTATCAGAGTGCAAGTGTGGGGGTGAGAGAGAATTGCCTTAGGGACTTAGATCAGTGGCTTTCAAACTTTTTAACAGTGACGCACGGTAAGAGGTACATTTTCCATTGTGATCACTTACCCACAGGCATATATGTGGATGTCTGAATATGTACATGCCTGCTTATTTATTGTTTATAAAATAGTGCTTACCCTTTCTACCTGTGATGTACCCTATTTTCTATTTCTTTTTATTGTGGTAAATTTACGGAACATAAAATTTACCGTTTTAACCATGTTTAAGTGCAGTTCTGTAGCATTAAGTACGTTGACATTGTTGTGCAACCATCACCACCATCCATCCACAGAACTTTTATTTCATTAAAAAAAAAATCCTGGTTGCCACTACTGGATTTAAAAACTCCTAAATCAAGATTCACAGTTTGATCAACCCTAATTTATATGTTTTACTTTTCCTGATACCAAATATTCTGGTATCTGTTTTATCCTTAGTTGCTTTCCTTTTAACTTGACTTTCAAGCCTCTGTTTCTTTTGGCTTTTTGTGGTTGAGATTTGTTCCTTATGTGTAAAGACAAGGTCATGACATGGGTGGGATGCTGCTATTAGAAAACCTTCTTTGTGTCCATTTTCTGAAAATGTGGATTCTGGAGTTCTCTCCCAGAATCTAGTTGGAAACTAGACTTTTGGTGGTGAACACGAGGCAGTCTATATGGAAGTCGAAATATAATGATGTACATCTGAAATTTATATAGTGTTATAAACCAATGTGGCCTCAATAAAAACATTAAAAAAATAAATTAAAAAAAAAGAATTCTCTCTATAAGTGTAATGTCCTATGATGGGTAAATTAGTCACCTAAGTGCTTACTATTCACTTAGCTTTGTGCAGTTGGGAATTTTTTTTTAATGAGGATTTTAATACCCCCAAAGCTCATATAATGTCTTGCTACTTTTCAAATAAACCTTTTGCTTTAAAATAGATTTAGATTTACAGAGAAGCTGTAGAGATGCTACAGAGAGGTCCCATATACCCCTCATGCAGTTTACCCTGATGTTAACGTCTTCCATACTGTGATACATTTGTCACAATGAAGAAACCAATACTGGTGCATTATTAACATTACTATGAACTAAACTGTGTACTTGATTCGGATTTCACTAGTTTTTCCCTAATGTCCTTTTCCTGTCCAGGATCCTATCCAGGATACCACGTTACTTTTAGTTGTCATGCCTCGTTAGGATCTTCTTGATGTGACAGTTTGTCAGACTTTCCTTGTTTTTGGAACCTTGACAGTTTGAGGAGGTACTTTGTAAAATGCCCCTCACTTTGGGGTTGTCTGATGTTTTTCCTCGTGGTTAGATTGGGGTTATGGGTTTTAGGGAGGAAGATCACAGCTGTAAATTGCCATTCTCATCACATATCAAGGATATCTACTCTCCACGTGACTTCTCACTTTGATGTTGACCTTGATCACTAGCCATGGCTGAGGTACTGTTTGTCAGGTTTCTCCACTGTAAGGTCACTCTTTTTTCCTCTTTCCTTGCTACTCTCTTTGGAGGCAAGTCCTTAAGTGGAGCTAAGCTCCGCTTACATAAATTATTTGGAATTCTTCTGTATGGGAGATTTGTCTATTCTCCCTCATTTATTTATTCATTCAGTCATTTATATTGGTATGGACTCATGAATGTTTATTTTATACTTTGGGTTATAATCCAATACTAGATTTGCCCTGCTATTTTAATGTCATTTATCCTTACTCTAATTTATGCAGTTATTAGTATCTCCTTACACATTTTTCAAACATTTTTGTGATTTTCATTTTAATTACTACCCACAATGCCAACTCGTAATGATATTAAGATGGACTTGAAGTCAGTATAGCCAGCACTTATGAATTCCACAAAAAGAATGTGTTGTCTCTGAGAGAACCCATATGGAGGAGCACTTACTACCTTGGGGCTGGAGAAGTAGATTTGACCATAAAGCAGAGTCTCAGTATGTCCCAAGAACTGTGTAGGTGGCACTGATGTCTGTCACTGGAGAGAATCTAGATAGTAAGGAGGGCTCTGTGTCTCCCCCTCAGACTACCCAAGCCGGGGCCAGACCAGACTACTGTTAATTCTGGGGTGCAGGGTTCTAGAGTAGCTAGCCTGTGATCTCAAACAGAGTTTTGGGAAAGCTTTCAGGGTAATTGGCCTCAATGGAGATTTTGTTTATATTATCTTGACTTCATCTTCTGCAAATGCTGTGTAATTGTATTTGGTCGAAAGCCAGAAAAGCAATATTG